GAGAGTAGGTTGTTTGTCTCTAAGTGGAGGATAATGGATTGGTTAATAATTGATTCCATGACTTTACAGGTGACGCAGCATAAGGAGATTGGTCTGTAATTTTCAACTAGGCTCCCTTTTTAAAGATGGGGATGACTGTGGCTTGTTACCATAGGTTAGGCAAGGACCTGGCCCTGAAAGATTTTTCAAAGATTAAGGGTTTGGTTCATTGACATTGCACTATCTGGTGATACACGAATTGTAGATATGCAGCAAGAAAAAAATCACAAAATATCGGACTTACAAATTGAAATTGAGCGACTTTGGAAAAAGAAATTGTGTGTTATGCCAATTGTAATTGGAGCCCTTGGAGCAATATCTAAAGGGCTACCTCGCTATTTGGAAATCCTGAATTTATCAGACCTGAATATTTATTTATTTATTTTATAGGTGACACAGCATAAAGAGATTGATCTGTAATTTTCAACTAGGCTGGGGTCTCCCTTTTTGAAGATGGGGATTGCTGTGGCTTGTGACCATAGTTTTGGCAAGGAGCTGGTCCTGAAAGATTTTTCGAAGTTTATGCTTAGAGGTTCGGCTATGGCAGTGGATAGCTTTTTTAAGAAGTAGGCACATATTCCGTCAGGTCCAATAGATAGATATGGTTTTAGATTGCATAGTGCTTTTTTAACATTGTCTACTGTAAAATCGATATGTATTAGATCATTGTAGCTGTCTGTGGTTCGACTAGGAAATGATCTATTGCTGTTTACAAATACTGAGCCAAAGAATGTGTTAAAGAGGTTGGCTTTAATAGTGTCATCGTTGCAGACTTTACCATTAGGTCCTTTCAGGGATGGACCTTGAGTCTTTTAGTTTGTTGTTTACAAAATTGTAGAAAGCGCGGGTGGAATTGGTGCTTAGAAGGTTTTCCTCTTGTTTAATGTGATAATTGGTGCATTCAGTCTTTATCTGGTGGCATAAATTTTTGTATAGGCTTTTGAAGTTGGCAACATGACCAGATTTGTTTTTCCACCAAAGTGATCTCTTTTTGGATTGAAGCTTCCTTATTGTTATGGGTAATCTGTTTTTTTCTGGTTTTTGGAGTTGTTATTGGTACATATAGTTTGACAACTCTTTTGACTTCAAGTAAAAATATGTTGTAATGGTCTTCAACAGTATTGCATCCAGTGAATAGAAATTGCCAATCAAGGGATGAGAGATCATTGTCTATAAGATCATAGTTGCCTTTTTTGAAGTTATAATTGGGGATCACATCATTGTGTTGATTTTTGTGTGGACGTATGTTGAGACAAAAGTCAATCATGCTGTGGTCACTGTTGGAAAAGGGTTCTTTAATTTGTATTCCATAAATTGAATTCAAACTATTGCAGAAGATGAGATCGAGGCAGTTGTTAAGTCTAATATTGTTGGTTACTAGTTGTTCCAGTCCCAGATTTGTTACAGCATTGTAGAAGGTTGCATGTATGGGTTCAGTTTTACATTCGTTTAGGGTCCAGTTAATGTGAAATAGATTGAAGTCACCACGAAAGATAAAAGTGTGTGGGCAGGATGTTTCCCATGTTAGTAGTGAATTTAGTTTGTTTACATGTTCGATGTCATAATCAGGGGCTCTGTAACATAGTAAGAATCGAAATATGATATTTAAGGACAGTTCACAGACGATGGTCTCAGGAAGAGCAAGCTCTTGGGTAACTTGGACATTTTTTAGATGTAAGGACTTTTTATAGAAGATAGCAATACCGCCTCCTCTACAGATTTCACGATCTGATCAGTCAACATGATAGTCTCTTACTGTGGTAATGGAGTCAGGGAGAGGTGCATTGAGCCTTGATTCACAGACAAATATGATGTAGAATTTAGCCATATTTAGTAAGAGGAGAAATTCAGGTATTTTATTCACAAGGCTTCTTGCATTGAGTAGCTTGCATTTAAGGTCAGTTGTAGTTGGAATTGAGGTAGTTAGGGGCATGCGTGCCTAGTTTTGAGTGATGGTGGGTTGGATTAGGTAAGGTTGGATGTGGAGTTGTGGGTTGTGTGACTTACTTTTGATACAATCAGCGCGGTAGTCAATGTAGAGATCCTTCTCTCCATTGTCTAGATGTCTTTTGAGTCCCTTACAGAGTTCATGGGAGCGGATTCTTTGCAGTATGGATAAGTCTGGTCTTGAGCGAAGTTTTTTGTGGTTGGGACTGATTTTTGCAATGGCATTTATTGTATGAATGAATATGCGTTTGCGGGATTCATTTTTGCAAACAACTCTACAAAATTTTGGGGCCACCGAGCCATCATTGTATTTGGACTCAGGGCCATGTCTGGTTACTTCAATGATATCTTCAGGAGAGATGTTTGTTGTATTTGAGTTGCTTATGATATTACAAACTTTGGTGATGTCATCTGATTCTTTGGTGTCTTCAAGACCAAATAAGATGGCATTTGGACGTTTCTGATCACGTTCAATGGTGTCTCTGATGAGTAAGGAGATATCATTTGTGGAATTATTCGATGGGATAGTAATTATTTGTGGTTGTGGTTTGGTGGTTATTTTTGGTTGTAGTTGTGATTGTAGTTGAGGTAGTAGTTGTGGTAGTGGTTGTTGGATTGGGATTTGATTTTGTGCTGATAGGTAGTCGCTTATCAGTGCTGTATTTTTTTTCAAGAAAAATTAGGCTTTCTTGTATAATTGTTTCAAAATGTGTTGCTCAGCATTTTTCTATTGAGTGCATGAGTGATTCTATGCTATCAACTCAGGCAGGGTACTTGGTTTGTTTAGCTTAGGAAAACATGATGGACCTAGACAAGGGAAAGTATCTGATGCTTTCAGGAGGTTAGCTAGGTCTTTGTTTAAGTTTAAGCAGGTAAGGTGGGCTTGATTGTCACATAGGTAACATTTGATGTTATTTTCATTTTTGTTGATGGTTTTAAGACATCTGAAGCATGTACAGGAGTCTGGGAAGTCATTGGTAGAGATATTTTTTGTTGTTGTTTGGTAGTGGAGGATTTGGAGTTTCTGGAGTTTCTGGCTGGCATGGTCAATGACAATAGTACACTAAACAATTACAATAGCTAATTAATGTGATAGGTAGACAGTTACTTAATGAATGTTGATAATTAACAAATGTTAATTGATAAATTAGAGAACAAATCAAAAGTAAGGTTACTTATTACTAAAAATCAATCAAT